GAAAAAGAAAAAAAGAGAAAGAAAGATAATGAAAAAAGAGAAAAAGAGAAAGAAAATTATAAAAAATGGAAAAAGATAGAGAAAGGGAGAGAAAGAGAAAGGGATGTGGGTGGTCTTACTGTTATGTACAAGGCCATACTGTCAAAGTAGCACACTTGGTTCCACTCCACAGAGACCGAGAATTGAGCTTCTACACAACAAGACAGGCAGCAAGCAGCAACTACACTCTGGTTGTGCCCTTCTCCAGAACATCACTTCATCTGAGATCATTTCTTCCCAGGATGACTCAAGTCTGGAACATGTTCATACAACATTAGGACATCAATGAAATTAAGTGAATTTACCAAATGAAACCGCTGGCCCACAGATGGCTCCAACTTTGCCCTGTTCCCTATTTGTATATCTCTTAACAATAAAAAGGCTATCAAATGAACTGATGTAGGTAACAGCTCTTAGCTTGTAAAACCCTGTGTAAGAGAGACAGAAACAGAGAGAGAGAGAAAAGCCTAGGTGTACAGTACAGTATATGGTAATTACAGGAATGTGAACTTTCAGAGAAACTTAAAGCTCACTTTTTTCATTCACAGAGAGTCTAGAGTAACGATATATAAAATGTTATACTGTATAGTGTAGTATTGGCTGGTAGACAAAAATGGAAAAACCCTACTGTCCCATTTAAGTTTTATTTTATTTTTCTTGAAAGAATTTTGCACTTAGTTTTCCAGAAAACATTTCCCATACAAATGAAGGCACTTCTGTATGAAGAACAAAAAGGCACAATACCATGACTAGAACAATACACAAATAACCCTCACACACACAGGGGAGAAACAAGTTTATGATGACATTTCGGTCCGTCTTGGACAATTTACAAGTTGCACTTCTGTATAGTTTATATCCTATACGGGACTAGCGCTCCAGTTAAAAAAGCAATAAAACTCTACTTTTCTTTTTTTGACAAATCGGCCGTTTCCCACCGAGGCAGGGTGACCCAAAAAGAAAAAATACTTTCATCATCATTCAACACTTTCACCTCACTCATACATAATCACTGTCTTTGCAGAGGTGCTCAGATATGACAGTTTAGAGGTCCCTCCAAACTGTCAATATCCCAGACCCCTCCTTTAAAGTGCAGGCATTGTACTTCCCATTTCTAGGTCTCAAGTCCAGCTAAATCTATAATAATAAACTCAACATATTTACATAAATTTTTCATCAATTCATTCCTAGTTTTAAGACCAAAATCTGTAACTTTAAAAATTACTGAAATATCCAAAAGCTTCTGATTACTGTATTACTAAAATCCAACCTACTACCATAGCCTAACTTTTTATCCTGTAGAACTTACCTGCCTGTATAAATAAGGAATTTTGTCTATCATATACCGCTTTGGAGTAGCAGGAAGAATAACAACATGGTGTTTACCCTCTTCTTTCCCCAGCCTCTCCATCAGTTTATGCCGACGTTCACTATATTCCCCATAAGATATGCCAAATGTGACCTGAAATACAATTAGACTTTTGTACATAAGAAGATACATCATTTAATGATGTTGTAGTTTGTTAGTTACCTATATAACATCTGCTCCCTTGAGCAAAATCTTAACAAAACAATTACTGTACAGATACAAGGCTATATTTGTTTTGAGTATGATGCCTGCGTGTTCTGTTACAGCTTTAAAGGAAGTGTTTTAGATCAGCATCACCATTACAGTGGAATGTTTTGAAGATGTGATTATTATTATTATTATTATTATTATTACAGTATTATCATCATCATTATTATTAACTCAATGTCTATCTCTCACCAAGGTAGGGTGACTTATTATTATCATCATCATTTCAATTAGGATTAGAACACTAAACCCATAGGGGTAATGCAGCACATGGAAGGGAATCAGGAAGGGAGGGGAGAGATGCACTTCCTTGGATCAGGATTCCCTCACTGACATTAAGGCACCTCCCTTGATGTGTGTGAAGTGAACAGCAGTTTGTATGGCATTTATCTTTAATAGGTTTAGGGATTTGAACAAGAGAATAGTGTGTTGCCAAAAATTTTAATTTGTGATAGTTCTGATAGCTTCCTATTGTTGTGCAATAATTGGTTTAAGGTTGACAGCTGAGGCAGAACCCCAGGCATAAATTCCATTGGTGAGGTATGAGTACATAAGAGTGAAATAGAATGTTAGTATACATAAATTGGGGGGAAATAACAGCTAATTGTGGAGGGCATACCTACCATTTTTTAATACTTTCCTGAAATGAACTGGAAATGATCACTAAATTTTAATTTATTATCTATGAACACACCTAAAAGCTCACGCTTGTATTTTTCGTGTACTTTGGATTCATTAATTTTGATGTCTGTGTACATGGTTTATTCTAAAAATGATATAGTAGAATTTTTTTGTATATTAAAGGTGAGCTTATTTTCATCATTCTGGTGCAGACCTTTTTTTTAACTCACCATTAACTACAAAGTTTAGAGTAACTGACTCTGTGTGTGTGTGTGTGTGTGTGTGTGTGTGTGTGTGTACTCACCTATTTGTACTCACCTATTTGTGGTTGCAGGGGTCGAGTCCTAGCTCCTGGCCCCGCCTCTTCACCGGTTGCTACTAGGCCCTCTCTCTCCCCGCTCCATGAGCTTTATCAAACCTCGTCTTAAAACTGTGTATGGTTCCTGCCTCCACTACGTCATTTTCTAGGCTATTCCACTGCCTTACAACTCTATGACTGAAGAAATACTTCCTACTATCTCTCTGACTCATTTGTGTCTTCAACTTCCAATTGTGGCCTCTTGTTTCTGTGTCCCCTCCCTGGAACATCCTGTCCTTGTCCACCTTGTCTATTCCACGCAGTATTTTATATGTCGTTATCATGTCTCCCCTGACCCTCCTGTCCTCCAGTGTCGTCAGGCCGATTTCCCTTAATCTTTCTTCATAGGACATTCCCCTTAGCTCTGGAACTAACCTTGTTGCAAACCTTTGTACTTTCTCTAGTTTCTTGACGTGCTTTATCAAGTGTGTGTGTGTGTGTGTGTGTGTGAGACTCTCACGGGCAACAAGGGATTAGAGGTGTTATTATGTTGACTCTGGAACAGAAGTTGACGTCTCAGTGATTATAATGGGTCTGGTGATCAAAGGTATTAGGAAGGAGGCAAGAATACAAACTAAGAGGGAAGCTTGATACTTGTAGATCATTTGATTGACCAAGAATAATGTTGAAATCTCCAGCAATTATTAAGTGATTTTTAATGTTTGTTGATCACTATTATGTTTCTCAGATTATCACTGAAGCTTAGCAAATTCATGAGGAATTGTGTAAATACAGTAGCACCAATTATTGTAGATTATTAGCACTGTTTGTAGTAACAGGTCCAAACCAACCAATGAAATCGGTTTCAGGATAACAAATAAAGAATAAAAAGAAATGAATGAAAACCAAATTCAACCAACTAGGAAAATCACTTTCATAGTAACAAACACTGATAGAGCAATCATAACCAAAAAATGGACTAACCTAAAGACACTGTAAACAACAGGACCAGATACCAAGCAAATTTAGGCAAATTCCTAAAACTGGATGAATTAACAAAGGTGATTCAAAGTAATGACCTCGCCAGGCTGCACAAGATGTGGATGTGTGAGAGGTGTGGGTTGACCAGCTCGGATGAATCGCTTGGTTTGTCCCTCTTGGGCCAATCTTGATACATCTTGATTGTGCTCCCCAATCTGACTAACAGAATGGCACATTCTACGTTTTACCACAGAGAAACCTGTAAATTATACATACAGTACATACATGCAAAATTTATATAATACAGAAACTAAAACATACATACAGTATCATAAAATATATGATATTAGTGGAAATGAATCACAGTAATACTAACAATATGTAAATACATTCATTTTGTTTTGTGTATTCCCTATCAGTTTAGGTCCCCACTTTCTAAGAGCCATACCTACGTAACGTGTGGTGGTCCTGACACACAACACAGGCATCCTGAGAGGTCATAATAATAACAATTATCTTGGTTTCTACAATACACGTACAATGTATACAGGCCGCCTAGTTGACATCGGTGACATACTGCTATACAGACAGCCCCTTGTTATTACCTGGAGTTTACCTGGAGAGAGTTCCGGGGGTCAACACCCCCGCGGCCTGGTCTGTGACCAGGCCTCATGGTGGATCAGAGCCTGATCAACCAGGCTGATTACTGCTGGCTGCATGCAATCCAACGTATGAGCCACAGCCCGGCTGGTCAGGTACCGATTTTAGGTGCTTTTCCAGTGCCTGCTTGAAGACAGCCAGGGGTCTATTGGTAATCCCCCTTATGTATGCTGGGAAGCAGTTGAACGGTCTCAGGCCCCTGACACTTATTGTATTGTCTCTTAACGTGCTAGTGACACCCATGCTTTTCATTGGGGGGATGTTGCATCGTCTGCCGAGTCTTTTGCTTTCATTGTGAGTGATTTTCATGTGCAAGTTCGGTACTAGTCCCTCTAGGATTTTCCAGGTGTATATAATCATGTATCTCTCCTGCCTGCGTTCCAGGAAGTACAGGTTCAGGAACTTCAAGCGCTCCCAGTAATTGAGGTGTTTTATCTCCGTTATGCGCACCGTGAAGGTTCTCGGTACATTTTCTAGGTCAGCAATTTCACCTGCCTTGAAAGGTGCTGTTAGTGTGCAGCAATATTCCAGCCTAGATAGAACAAGCGACCTGAAGAGCGTCATCATGGGCTTGGCATCCTAGTTTTGAAAGTTCTCATTATCCATCCTGTCATTTTTCTAGCAGATGCAATTGATACAATGTTATGGCCCTTGAAGGTGAGATCCTCCGACATGATCACTCCCAGGTCTTTGACGTTGGTTTTTCGCTCTATTTTGTGGCCAGAATTTGTTTTGTACTCTGGTGAAGTTTTAATTTCCTTATGTTTACCATATCGGAGTAATTTACATTTCTCATCATTGAACTTCATATTGTTTTCTGCAGCCCATTGAAAGATTGGTTGATGTCCGCCTGGACCCTTGCAGTGTCTGCAATGGAAGACACTGTCATGCAGATTCGGGTGTCATCTGCAAAGGAAGACACGGTGCTGTGGCTGACATCCTTGTCTATGTCAGATATGAGGATGAGAAACAAGATGGGAGCGAGTACTGTGCCTTGTGGAACAGAGCTTTTCACCGTAGCCGCCTCAGACTTTACTCTGTTGACTACTACTCTGTCTTCTGTTTGTGAGGAAATTATAGATCCATCAACCAACTTTTCCTGTTATTCCTTTAGCACGTATTTTGTGCGCTATTACACCATAGTCACACTTGTCGAAGGCTTTTGCAAAGTCTGTATATATTACATCTGCATTCTTTTTGTCTTCAAGTGTATCTAGGACTTTGTTGTCGTGATCCAGTAGCATTTCGGGCAAATTAGGTCAATTTTGTCCCCAGGATGTGACTCACACCAGCTGAGTAACACCCATGTACCTATTTTACTGCTAAGTGAACAGGGACAGAAGGTGACTTAAAGAAACAATTCCTAATGTTTCCACCTGTACCGGGGATCAAACTATGGACCTCAGTGAGCTGAATGCGCTACCAAGCAAGCTACAGGACACCTAGGTAACGTGTGGTGGTCCTGACACAGGATAAAGACATCCTGAGAGGTCATACCTAAGTAATGTGTAGTGGTCCTGACACAGAATATAGACATCCTGAGAGGTCATACCTAGGTGATGTGTGGTGGTCTTGACACAGAATACAGACATCCTGACGGGTCATACCTAGGTAATGTGGTGGTCTTGACACAGAATACAGACATCCTGACAGGTCATACCTAGGTAATGTGTGGTGGTTTTGACACAGAATACAGACATCCTGACAGGTCATACCTAGGTAATGTGTGATGGTCTTGACAGAGAATACAGACATCCTGAGAGGTCATACCTAGGTAATATGTGGTGGTCTTGACACAGAATACAGACATCCTGAGAGGTCATACCTAGGTAACGTGTGGTGGTCTTGACACTGAATACAGACATCCTGAGAGGTCATACCTAGGTAACGTGTGGTGGTCTTGACACTGAATACAGACATCCTGAGAGGTCATACCTAGGTAACGTGTGGTGGTCTTGACACTGAATACAGACATCCTGAGAGGTCATACCTAGGTAATATGTGGTGGTCTTGACACTGAATACAGACATCCTGAGAGGTCATACCTAGGTAATATGTGGTGGTCTTGACACTGAATACAGACATCCTGAGAGGTCATACCTAGGTAATATGTGGTGGTCTTCACACAGAATACAGACATCCTTAGAGGTCATACCTAGGTAACGTGTGGTGGTCTTGACACAGAATACAGACATCCTGACAGGTCATACCTAGGTAATATGTGGTGGTCTTGACACTGAATACAGACATCCTGAGAGGTCATACCTAGGTAATATGTGGTGGTCTTGACACTGAATACAGACATCCTGAGAGGTCATACCTAGGTAATATGTGGTGGTCTTCACACAGAATACAGACATCCTGAGAGGTCATACCTAGGTAACGTGTGGTGGTCTTGACACTGAATACAGACATCCTGAGAGGTCATACCTAGGTAATATGTGGTGGTCTTGACACTGAATACAGACATCCTGAAGAGTCATACCTAGGTAATATGTGGTGGTCTTGACACTGAATACAGACATCCTGAGAGGTCATACCTAGGTAATATGTGGTGGTCTTCACACAGAATACAGACATCCTTAGAGGTCATACCTAGGTAACGTGTGGTGGTCTTGACACAGAATACAGACATCCTGACAGGTCATACCTAGGTAATATGTGGTGGTCTTGACACTGAATACAGACATCCTGAGAGGTCATACCTAAGTAATATGTGGTGGTCTTGACACTGAATACAGACATCCTGAGAGGTCATACCTAGGTAACGTGTGGTGGTCTTGACACAGAATACAGACATCCTGAGAGGTCATACCTAGGTAACGTGTGGTGGTCTTGACACAGAATACAGACATCCTGAGAGGTCATACCTAGGTAACGTGTGGTGGTCTTGACACAGAATACAGACATCCTGACAGGTCATACCTAGGTAACGTGTGGTGGTCTTGACACAGAATACAGACATCCTGACAGGTCATACCTAGGTAATATGTGGTGGTCTTGACACAGAATACAGACATCCTGAGAGGTCATACCTAGGTAATATGTGATGGTCTTGACACAGAATACAGACATCCTGACAGGTCATACCTAGGTAATATGTGGTGGTCTTGACACTGAATACAGACATCCTGAGAGGTCATACCTAGGTAACGTGTGGTGGTCTTGACACAGAATACAGACATCCTGAAAGCTTCCATGATGCTTTGTTGTGATCATCAGCTGATCATGACGGCTTGCCAACACTCGCCACCTACTGCATTGTGATTTAAATTGTTAGTTTAATATCTTTATTATGCACCCCATACCCATCCTGTGGGCAGCAGTCGAAAGATTATAAAGGCACATAATGGGTCTAGTGACTGGGCCCCAAAGTTTTGACAGTTAAACAAGTTACAGTGGCAATAGCCCATTTAATTCTTATATCTGGTTATAATCGTAATGAGTTATTTATGTGACAGTGGTAATAAACTATTTACATTAGTGTAGCTCATATGTAATTTTGAATCACGTTCTATTTTAGCAAGGTTGGGTTGAATTTAAACTAGGTTAAACCATACCACGGGCGGGATTTGAACCCGCGGTCAGAGTCTCAAAACTCCAGACCGTCGCGCTAGCCACTGGACCAGCTAGCCACAATAAGATTCGTCCAACTAGGTATATTTCTACACCATAGGAAGGTTAGCATAGGCACCACCGTGGTGTAGAAATATACCTAGTTGGACGAATCTTATTGTGGCTAGCTAGTCCAGTGGCCAACGCGACGGTCTGGAGATTGAGACTCTCTGACCGCGGGTTCAAATCCCGCCCGTGGTATGGTTTGTTTGCAATCGTGTCATTACGATTTCGTGAGTCATGTTAAACTAGGTTAAATGGTTAGGTAAGTTTATTTATGTACAGGTACACATATACAGTTACATAAGTTTTCATACATATTATAATCAATGGGGAAGCGCTAAACCCGTAGGATTATGCAGCGCCTGTGGGGGGGATGTGGAAGGTATTCAGGCTTAATTTGGGGAATTGGAGCATAGATCCAATTCCCTAGATCAAGAGCCCCTCAACAGCATCAAGGAACCTTCCTTGAGGGGTTTTCATACAAAACAGCAGTGTCAGTGGCTTTATAAACACCAACAATAACTTACATAGCAGCTTATGTGTATATTACCTAAGATAATCCAAGAAAGTCTAAGTGACTTATTTCCATTGGGGTTATTGTAATACCTTATTATTTTAAACAGTAAAAGGAGATATACCAGGACTATTTACATTTACATGAAAGAGAGGACAGGTCACATTAATAGGTACATGTATGTGAGTTATACCAGAAATCACTCCTCCCTTTATCCCTACATTCATTAGGTACCTTTTGGCTGTCTTCTTAAACAAGTTCATGCTATGACTGGCTTTGACATGTACAGGCAGTTTGTTCCACTTCTCTATTGCTGTACAATAAAAGGTGTTTGAAGCCTGACCACTGACTGTGGGTACCAGAGTTGTGTTTCCTACCTCTACTACTGTGACTTATGAGTTATTTACAGTGGACAAAGTCAGGGTGTTTTTCCAGAATGGTTGGTAATATGCCACTATGGATAAAATACTTTGGCATTTCTTGAACTATATATAGAGAACATTAAACTCCAATATAAACCCTTTGCTCAAACATCTTGATAACTACAACAGAATGTAATAAAGTTGGTAGAATTACAGACAATATGTAAAGTAAAAGGACACAAGTGCAACTAATGTGACATTTTATTATGGCAACGTTTCGCTCTCCAGGAGCTTGATAAAGCTCTTGGAGAGCGAAACGTTGCCACAATAAAATGTCACATTAGTTGCACTTGTGTCCTTTTACTTTACAACTACAACAGAACACACAGGCACAACACAACCCACATAACTTCAACATCCCTCGTGCCTGGACCATCTTGTGCAAAAATGCAAGCACATAAAGAGCCTTAAGATCTGGAATTCATTGCCTGAACCAGAAAGAGGTCCCTTGCCTGCCAGTCAATTTAGGGCTATACTTGAAAATTATATCTCCCAAAATTAATCTTGCCAACACTAAATGTACTAAATCATTCAACTAGTTTGAAACGACTCGAAATAATCCCCCAAAATTTTACTATTTGTAATAGTGTTTTTTGCTACCTCACTACTATAAATCTTATTAATTATAAAATTTTTGGCTACCTCACTTCAGTAATAAGGTAAAATAATGAATAATTAAAATTTACCACTCTATGTTGTTCCTCATCCTCATATCCGACATAGACAAGGATGTCAGCCACAGCACCGTGTCTTCCTTTGCAGATGACACCCGAATCTGCATGACAGTGTCTTCCATTGCAGACACTGCAAGGCTCCAGGCGGACATTAACCGAATCTTTCAGTGGGCTGCAGAAAACAATATGAAGTTCAACGATGAGAAATTTCAATTACTCAGATATGGTAAACACGAGGAAATTAAATCTTCATCAGAGTACAAAACAAATTCTGGCCACAAAATAGAGCGAAACACCAACGTCAAAGACCTGGGAGTGATCATGTCGGAGGATCTCACCTTCAAGGACCATAACATTGTATCAATCGCATCTGCTAGAAAAATGACAGGATGGATAATGAGAACCTTCAAAACTAGGGAGGCCAAGCCCATGATGACACTCTTCAGGTCACTTGTTCTATCTAGGCTGGAATATTGTTGCGCACTAACAGCACCTTTCAAGGCAGGTGAAATTGCTGACCTAGAAAATGTACAGAGAACCTTCACGGCGTGCATAACGGAGATAAAACACCTCAATTACTGGGAGAGCTTGAGGTTCCTGAACCTGTATTCCCTGGAACGCAGGTGGGAGAGATACATGATTATATACACCTGGAAAATCCTAGAGGGACTAGTACCGAACTTGCACACGAAAATCACTCACTACGAAAGCAAAAGACTTGACAGACGATGCAACATCCCCCCAATGAAAAGCAGGGGTGTCACTAGCACGTTAAGAGACCATACAATAAGTGTCAGGGGCCCGAGACTGTTCAACTGCCTCCCAGCATACATAAGGGGGATTACCAACAGACCCCTGGCAGTCTTCAAGCTGGCACTGGACAAGCACCTAAAGTCGGTTCCTGATCAGCCGGGCCGTGGCTCGTACGTTGGTTTGCGTGCAGCCAGCAGTAACAGCCTGGTTGATCAGGCTCTGATCCACCAGGAGACCTGGTCACAGACCGGGCCGCGGGGGCGTTGACCTCCGGAACTCTCTCCAGGTAAACTCCAGTACCGAACTTGCACACGAAAATCACTCACTACGAAAGCAAAAGACTTGGCAGACGATGCAACATCCCCCCAATGAAAAGGAGGGGTGTCACTAGCACGTTAAGAGACCATACAATAAGTGTCAGGGGCCCGAGACTGTTCAACTGCCTCCCAGCATACATAAGGGGGATTACCAACAGACCCCTGGCAGTCGTCAAGCTGGCACTGGACAAGCACCTAAAGTCAGTTCCTGACCAGCCGGGCTGTGGCTCGTACGTTGGTTTGCGTGCAGCCAGCAGCAACAGCCTGGTTGATCAGGCTCTGATCCACCAGGAGGCCTGGTCACAGACCGGGCCGCGGGGGCGTTGACCCCCGGAACTCTCTCCAGGTAAACTCCAGGTTTAGGTTAGGTTAGGTGAGGTTCGTCAGGAAACAGGACAAGTGTTTCCTGACGCGGGTCTTAGTCAGATGATGACCCACCACTGGAGCTTTTTGGTCATCTGACCAAGGCCTTCCGCTGGCTTAGCGGTCCACAATTTTAAAAGAAGTAAGGTCAAAGTTATCGTTTTTTTTTTTATGACTATCCATCAATTGTTCGTAACCTTTTCAAAGAAATAAAAATTGTATTGAGTTGTCTAAGTTCATTAATTTTATCGCATTCCAGCACAAAGTGACAGAAGATGCGACAGATGTCCATCTGGCAGTTTGTATTTAGTTTGGTCTGCATCATCTGGTGATGCTGATGTGACCTCTCAAAAATACTAATAGCCAAGTCAGAGCCTGATGGATGCACCACAGACATGTGGCTCCTTCTGCATGATGGAATGATGAGAGGCGGATTGATGGTGTCGCTCTCCCTCATTTTTTGAGTCATTGTAGTTCTTTCTGTAGTATTGCTGTCAAACTGCTGACAGACGATACAACGGAGATAAAACACCTCAATTACTGGGAGCGCTTAAAGTTCCTGAACCTGTATTCCCTGGAATGCAGGCGGGAGAGATACATGATTATATACACCTGGAAAATCCTAGAGGAACTAGTACCGAACTTGCACACGAAAATCACTCACAACGAAAGCAAAAGACTTGGCAGACGATGCAACATCCCCCCAATGAAAAGCAGGGGTGTCACTAGCACGTTAAGAGACCATACAATAAGTGTCAGGGGCCCGAGACTGTTCAACTGCCTCCCAGCATACATAAAGGGGATTACCAATAGACCCCTGGCTGTCTTCAAGCTGGCACTGGACAAGCACCTAAAGTCGGTACCTGACCAGCCGGGCTGTGGCTCGTACGGTGGATTGTGTGCAGTAACAGCCTGGTTGATCAGGCTCTGATCCACCAAGAGGCCTGGTCACAGACCGGGCCGCGGGGGCGTTGACCCCCGGAACTCTCTCCAGGCAAACTCCAGACCAATATCGTAATCTGCCCCCTCCTTGAAGGCCTTTGCCAGCTCATTAACTCTGTCATGCATCTGAATTATTATAATCAAAACAAAGCACCAGACCCACCAGGGTCATGCAGGCCAGTGTGAGATGAAATCTACCAATATACACTGTGTCTCCATTGTCTACAATCTTAAGATAGGATAAGATTTTGTTTGGATTTTTAATCCGGAGGATTAGACACTCAAAATAACCCAATAAAGTAAGTGCATCATCGGGGACTGTCTGTCTTATTTCCATTAGGGTTAATTAAGCTTGTCCCCAGGATGCGACACACAACAGTTGACTCACACTCTGGTACCTACTTACTGCTAGGTGAGCAGGGGACAGCAGGTGTAAGGAAATATACCCAGCATTTCCACCCATGCTAGGGATCGAACCACGGACACTCAGTATGTGAGATGAGTGCGTTGTCAATCGAGCCACTGAGCCATACATGTGTCTGGATTGTAACACAATTAAGGTGTCATCCTTAGATACATGGATGCATTGAGTGCAAGAGGTATAGCAAACAGTTCAGTTAGAAGAGAAGCCCAGTTGTTGATATATGCTCTAATTTCTATGAGTCTTCACTCAGAATTAT